AAGCTGGTACTGGGGAGCCCCAGCCCAGAGATGGGAACAGTATTCCATGTGCGGCCGAACCTGCGCCTTGTAAAGTTGCAGGCGGTGTGCCGGCATGAAATACTGTCCCGCTCTGCTGAGCACGCCAAGCTTTTTAGAGGCCAATTTGGCCTTCCCTTCCAAGTGACCACGAAACTGCACGTCACTCGATATGTCGACGCCGAGGATTCCGAAACTGGCTGAGGCAACAAGGGGAGTGCCTTGAAACTGAGGGGATACGACAAAGGGGTTCTTTTTAGCGGTTAACGCGCAAACTTGTGTCTTCTGGGGGTTAAACTGGACTAGATTTAGTCGCCCCCAATCCGAGACTCTGTCCAGCAGAGACTCGACTTCAGACACAAGTTTTTCCCGGCGTGCTGTCATCTGCATAGCAATGAATGTTACAGGTACGCAACATGTCATTGATATGCAGGAGAAACAGCGTTTGCGATAGCACACAGCCCTGTGGAACACCAGCATTAATAGGCTTGCAATCGGAGCTTGCACCGTCTACAACGACCTTGATGCTCCGATCTGCAAGAAAGCTGGTGATCCAATCGCACAATTTCTCGGGAAGCCCATAGGAAGGGAGCTTCGAAAGAAGCGCTTTGTGCCAAACCCGATCGAAGGCCTTCGCAATGTCCAAACTAACGGCCAATGCCTCCCCCTTGAACTCTACTGCCTCCGACCATCTGTGAGTTAGGTAGACCAGAAGATCACAAGCTGACCGACCATGGCGAAAACCGTATTGGCGGTCACTAATCAGCTGGTGATCTTCAAGGTACCTCATGAGCTGGCAGTTTACAATGGACTCCATTGTTTTGGAGAACAAGGAGGTGATGGCGATTGGCCGGTAGTTGGACGGGTCAGAGCGGTCGCGCTTTTTAGGGATCGGGTGGACGTAAGCCGTCTTCCATGATTTTGGGACTACGCCTAAGGGAGTACAGTGCTTGTGTCAGGATCAATGGGGCCTACTCGGACTGGTTTGGCATCCAAAAAGGTGTCAGACAGGGCTGTGTAGCTTCCCCTTGGCGTTCCTATTTATGGACAGGTGTTTGCAAACTTTGAAAGACGAAGAATGTGGGTTAAGAATGGGCGAGTTAACCGTCAAATGCCTTTTGTATGCCGATGATCAAGTCATATTTGCGTCATCGGCGGCTGAGTTGCAAATGATGGTTACATTAATGAACTGGGAATTAAAAGAAAGGGGAATGAAAGTGAATGCAAAAATGTGTAAGACGAAAGTGATGGTTTTTGAAAGAGAAGAAAGCAAAACGGTATGTGAAATAAGAATAGAAGGAGAGTTAATTGAGCAAATGGATGAGTTTGTGTATTTGGGATGTGTATTTAGCAGGGATGGTAGATATGATAGGGATATAGAACGACGAGTAAATGCAGGGAATAGAGTGAATGGGGCAGTACACTCTATTATGAAAAACCAGAATGTGTCAAAAAAGCGGCTAAAATAATTTCTAATGATTATTTAGATATAAATCTGTACTATATACATGATACGTTAACAAACGAACAGACTGACAGAAACAGTTCTAAAAATGAAAGAAATGTGTTCAATTACTTATTTTTAGTCTCTGTCAAACAATTTTGTTACAAAAATATAAAATGTACAGACATTTGCAATTTACATTTTTATTATATGCAGAGATTTGTTTCGATTAAACTTTATGTGCTTTATGTATTGTTCCGCTTCTAAACTATTATTATAATTAAAATTAATATATTAAAATAATATTGTACATTATTCTGAGACACAATTTATTTAACTCTAAATATCGAAAATTACAAAATGTTTACCAACAATTACAGACAAATTTAAAATTAATTGCTCAACACATGTAACAAGATTCTCCCCAAAAATTACTTGATAAGAAGCAATATAACCCGAAGAAATAATTCTTGTATGCTTTATAAACAGGTATTATTTTCAAATGAGATACGAAACGAATATAAATACGATACCTGAACCATCTTGCTTCGAATTTAGTTGATGCTTTTAACCTCACAATATTTCTTGCACTAATTATTTTAAAAAATATTGTTTTATTAAATATTAGATGGTTTGTAAAAAACTTCACCTTTCAATAGAATATAGTATACTTCAATTTTATTATTACTTATTTTAAGAAATTCATTAAAACTCATATGTACACAAACAAAACAAAAATATATTAAACAAAAAAACGACGCGTTTCGATTCGATCCACCATCAGTGTGAGTCATAGATAAATAAATATGTAGCAAGCTATAGATGTGAGTCTACCTACATATTTATTTATCTATGGTGTGAGTGTGACCATTTTTAAAATACAGATCCTGCCTTACTTTGGATAAAAAACTGCCAAAACCTGCCAGTCTATGGTGACAAATGCCTATGAAGCACTGACCTCTATACAAGTACGCTGGACTGGCTATACAATAGAAAATGACTGCTGTGCCAATTTGAGGCGCCGCTAAAGGATGTCTTGAAAAATAAAATTGACATCATATGTCAAAGTCTGTTGTCTCATTTATATTGTCTTATTTAATAAGTCCGTAATTTGAACTTTTAAACTAAAAAACGAAAGTATTTTATGTGGTTTGATTGTGTATAATATTAGTTACATAATAAGAATTATTTCTATTAATAATGAAAGTGTACGTAATCTGTAAAACTCGTTACCAAAAGAGAAGTGGTATAACATTTCACAAGTAAGTGAATTTGCAGCAAATATTAAACAAATTAAAATTATTTGATAATATAAGTACTTAAAAATTTGTTACTAATCTTAATATCATATATACCAACATCTTTGGCTATATATTACTGAGTTTTGATAAATAATAAAATTCAATAGGGTTGTCGAGTACCTTGTCTATAATACTTATCGATGTTCTTTCCTACCCATATATGTTAACAAACAAAGTAGCTATCAACAGACGATTATTAAATGTTTATTAATTAACAGGTTTCCAACTGAACCTGGACTAAAATTATGGCTTAAAAGCATAAATATTGCGAATTGGCGTCCGAAACAAAATGATCATATTTGTTCCAAACTTTTCAAAGACGACTGTTTTATTAGACATGAGAACTGCATTACTTTGGAAAAGTGCAGTATATCGACAATATTTTCTGGTAGTACCAGTACCAGTAAGTATAAAAGTATTAGATTATTATTTCGAATGTTTTTTTATTTCTTCTTTTCTTATTTTCCATCAAACTCAAGGGCCATAGCCAAGTGTCGAAAGGTCGCCTGATGATGTCGAGCCACGTTGTATGTATTTTAGTGGGCTGCGGCTAGAGGAGATTCCTCTCCCTGTACTGCTGTAGTCGAGGTGGAGTCGCAAGGGAAGAGGAGTGTTGGTATGGCGATTGGCGAAGCGCCACAGGACCGTGCTTTGTGGCATTTCTTGGGGGATGCCTATATTCATCAGTGGACTTGTGAAGGGTTTTGATGATAAATGATTACTTACTTTTACTGGGGTAGCCAGAGAGAACAGATCGCCAAGTGTCACGATCCTTACATACCTCTTTCGCTTCTTTCAGGTTCATTAACTTCTTCATACATGCACGTCTAGGTATCCGAGTACTCTTGACCCTCCCCCTCTTCTAGCAATTTGCTCACATGGTCTTCGAAAGTTAGTCTCGGTCTACCTCGACACCTTTTAATATTTACTTTCGCTCTATATATTTTCTTCACCTTGGTACTCATTCGTTCAACGTGCCCAAACCATTGGAGTACGCCGCTATCAATTTTTGTGATAAGGTCATCTTTAAATCCTGCCATATTTCGAATCTCTTCGTTTCGCTTTCGGTCGGCTATGGTAACGCCACACATTTTACGAAGAGATCGCATCTTCACTGCATTCAACTTGCTTTTATGCTTCTTCTGGCATACCCAGGTTTCGCTGCCATATAACAAAGTCGGTACCAACACTGCGTTATGTATTGCAAGGCGTGCACTCTTCACCACGCCATGCCTTTTTACTAATGCATTCAGGGCACCATTGACTTTGTTTCCGGCAGCGACACGCCTATCCACATCTAAATCACATCTTCCATCCCGGCTGAAAGCACTCCCCAAGTATACATTTTCATTTACCTGTTCTAGACATTCCTGATTTACCCATATTTCACATTTCGTTCTCTCTTCGTCCTTTTCAAATACCAGAACCTTAGTTTTAGTTTGATGAATGATAATGACCTTATATTAATATGATACATAAATAGAATGGACGTTACGGGTAGAGTCTATCTATCCATAGAGTCCATTCTATTAATTTAGGTATGGTAGTGTATAGAATTTTTATCGATTTAATTTGGTACACTGTCTTATCCTTATTATTAGTTCCGTGGACGTGCACTTCTGCTGTCAGCGCCAAAATGGCGGAAATCAAATCACTTCATCATGTCACCGTGTATAGCCAGTCCAGCGTACTTGTATATATAGAGGTCAGTGCTATGAAGTTATAAATACAGTGGAATCTCCGTAGACAGAGAATCCTATAGACACCGCCATAGCGTGTCGCAGAAAGAGACAAAAAAAAATACGTCACTATATTTAGGGTTACAAGTGTGAGGAAAAATTTACCCCACAACTAGCTATAAAATTAGGAATTAGTACGTGAAGTAAGCCTGAAATGGAACACTGCTATTAACGATTATCATTGATATGTATTGTAGTCGATGGAGAGCTCAGTGGACTGTATTTGACTCATAATTTAATATAATTTACTTTGGTGAAGAAAGAAGAAACTAAAAAATGTTAATTAACAATGATTTATATAATATTGTATTTTAATGGCAACACTGCGTCCGTTGTCAATACTGTGTCTGTGGTTATGAAGGATGTTATCCATATCTTATCTTTAGTATATACACAGTAATCTATGGTGGACATTTACAAAAATGTCAAAAGAAGTGGAAGTTGGAAGTTGCGCGATTTTATTTTGATTACGAATAGAATATATTATAAATAATAAATATGCTTACTGTATGATTTCATTTTTATTATAGAATGTTATAGTATACGAAATTTCGTTCTATAAACCTTATACAAAATTGATTTTTTTTTCAGGATTATTTATCGATGTCTGTTATTTTATCCAGCTTAATAATTTTTAGCTATGCATTTTATGTTCCTGGTGTGGCTCCAGTGGAGTTTAAGAAAGGACAAAGAATTGAAGTTAAAGCTGTTAAAATGACAAGTATCCACACGCAGTTACCTTACGAGTATTACTCTTTGCCTTTGTGTCGACCAAAGAATGGAACTTTTGTTTATAAATCCGAAAATTTAGGGGAAGTTTTGCGAGGGGACAGAATAGTAAATACTCCATATGAAGTTCATATGGCGGAAAATATTAAATGTAGGTTGTTGTGCCATAAGAAAAATTATCCAATAAATTGGAGTGTGGAAGAATCTGCAGAGGTTGCAATTCGCATTGAACATGAATATTTTGTACATTTGTTAGTATTTTTACTTACAGTGTGTAATTTTGAAGCTAGACGAATTGAAATTAAAATATTTATTTTATACAACTTATGTATTTGTTTTAGATTGGTTGACAATTTACCTGTAGCAACAAGGATAGTAAATAGTGATACAACAGAAAGAAGTATTGAACAAGGTTATCGACTTGGTTTCATGTCAAAAGGGAAAGCATTTATTAATAATCACTTAAAACTATTACTGAAGTATCATAAACACAGTCAGTAAGTTATTTTCTTTGTTGTAATTTCATTATTATTATTAGAAGTATAATGTATGAATAGACTTTTTTTTTTGACTTTGCATTTGCCTTTTGATGGTACTAATAGTGATAATTTCTATCTGTGGATCTTATGAATTTTGAGTTTTTCTTATAAAGTTTAGTTTTTATCATGTAAAATGTATTTTTAATTGATTATTAAATTTAAAAATTTGTATTCATTGTGTGATCTTCATGTCTATGGTATTTGATACTACTATTATTGTCAAGAAGCAGGTTGGATACTGTGGTGTGGCTAGCACATCAGGATGCCTTGCTTGTTGTGTGATTTATTAAAGAAAAAACCACCACCATTACTTTTAGGAATTGCATATGATAATTAGATTTTCATAACCATTTAAAATTTAGTTCTAAATTTAATTAATTATTTATTAAATTTTAAATATTTCTTGTTTATTTGTGAAATTATTGCAATCAAATTTATTTTCAGAGATTCTTACAGAGTTGTTGGTTTTGAAGTTGAAACACACTCTGTGGATAAGGATGATCTATCATTTATTGATGATGCCTCTTGTCAATTCCCTACTGATGCTAAACCCCAGTTAGTTAATGAAGACACTGGAACAAAATTGTATTTTACATATTCTGTTGAATGGGGAGAGTCTGAAATTGGGTGGGCATCGAGATGGGACATTTATTTGAGCATGAAAGATGTTCAGATCCATTGGTTTTCAATTATCAATTCTATTGTTGTCTTATTTTTTTTGTCAGGTATGTAAACAAGCAATCATATAACAAACAAATATTTGATATTATAAAGTAATGTTTTTTTTTAACCTCTTAAACCCCTTATGTTTGGATCTGACCACGGCGATATTCCATCAAATCTCAAGCGGTCGGATCTGACTGCACCCACCCTCAGCACTTAAAACAATAAAAACTTGCATTTGAAGACTACTTTTCTACGAAGAAGTTTGCCATTATAGAATCTATATGAAATTCTCTAATTTCATCAATCTACTAAATTCTATATCCTGTGGTCTAAACTAAGGAGTTACTCTATGGATTTTTATTTTTATTTTACTGTCAATTTGCGACATTTGCCGACCATACGAAAATTCGCTCAATTTTACAGTAGATTAAAAATAAAAATTCATAGAGTAACTGATTTGTTTAGACCACAGGATAGAAAATTTCGTATAGATTTTACAATGCCAAACTTCTTCATAGAAAAGTAGTCTCTAAATATAAGTTTTTATGGTTTAGAGCTGTGGGTAGTTGCGGTTGCATACATTTAAAAAATGAAAATCCATTGAATAACTGACTTTTATTTAGACTATAAAATAGAGAATTTTGTATAGATTCCTTAATGTCTTTATAGAAAAGTAGTCTTTAAATTTAAGTTTTTATGGTTTATGGTGCTGTGGGTGGGTGCAGTCGCATGCGACTGCTCGGGATTTGACGGACGCATGCAACCGCTTGGGTATTTTAAAATTTTAAGGGGTTTGAAGAGTTAAATTACGATGACAAAAAAGCATAGTTTACCTATGCCATCTAGATATCTACATCTTTCTCCAATTAAGAATCACAGTGCAAATTTGTTGGCACTCACATTAAGGAGCTTGGTGATTTTGGTAGTAGATGTTTTAAATAATTATTGCTGCTTTCTGTGCCATTTAGTGATAAAAAAGATGTTAATTATTTCTTACTTTTATGCGAATACTGCACAATAAATGAAACTAATTTTGATGTAATCTCATTTATTTAAAAATAAATTTAAATCCAGATGTTTAAAGTGCTTTACTGTACTGTTGCCATAATTCATAGGCATTGGAGGTAAGATTTATTTACAACCCAACTGCTTTTTAAGGGAATGTAATGCATAAATATGTTTGTATGTTTACATTAGTTCTTGTAACAATTTGGAAATTAGTTGTACATAGATTACAGACCCATTAAATTGAGGAGAGCAATGATATTAACACTTATATTATAAGGTAGTGTTTTGTTTGATATTTGTTTTTTATCACAATGTAAGAAACTAGTGAAGTAATTTTAAGTAAAATTTCAACCATATTATATAATAAATTTTTTTGCCATATAATTTCCTTTAATCATAATATATTCGGTAACTATTAGTCTTCTTTAATAAATAATTTACATTTTAGTTACCACATATAGAAATACATAGACTTTTTTTAATAACTAATAGTGATAATCTACATATAGGAATATGTATGTAATATTTGTGTGTATACAAAAGTCCCGATTTATAAAATGAAGAAAACGATGAAACGGTGAAACTGACGAAAGTTAAGTTGATATTTTATAAATAACTAGCCACTCGCCCTGGCTTAGTCCGGGTAGAATCTATTGACATGGTGTTATTTAGATTTTAGATAATCAAAGATCAACTTATTTATGGTATTTAAAAAAAAACGAGTTTTTCATATAAAATACAGCCTCTATCACTCCTGGCATTGATCTATCTGTTTGTGAAGTTTCATTTCAAGATAAACATTTTAAAAATGGTTGTTCATGTCTTAATGACATGCAAATAACCCATAGAATACTATAATACACCATAGAATGGCTGTTAACCTTATTTTGTACGAGGATCGGCGTCGCCGGGAGCACACATACGAGCAATAACATCGTATTAGCACTACTACAAACTCAATTCGCTATGTTGACATACAGATTTTAATACATATTTATTTGTAAATAGCGGACAATTTGGCATTTTCTAAATATTTGCGTGGGAAATTTGGAAACGATTTTAACATCAAAACACATAGATCTAGTGTTGACATTTATACGTCTGAATTGACTTGTTAGTGACATTTTAGTGGCTATACGGGCTCCGCCTACTCTCCCGTTCTATTATGTATGTATTATAGTATTCTATAACATAACCCCTCAGCTCAATACAAGACAGTTATTTCAATATTGCAGCCAGACTTCAACTTTATTTATATGTCTAGATTTGTAATTTAATATAATATTTTTTAGGCATATTAACAATGATCATGGTGAGAACGTTAAGAAGAGACATTGCAAGGTATAATTCAGATGAAAGTATAGATGACATGATGGAGGAGACTGGTTGGAAATTGGTGCATGGTGATGTTTTTAGACCGCCACCCAAAAGGATGCTTTTTGCAGCTGTAATAGGAAGTGGCATACAAGTGTTTTTGATGGCCCTTATCACTATTTGTAAGTATATTTATTCCTAACCATTAGGTATATTAAAAATAACAATAAATTAAATTTTATTGTCAGTATTGAAACAAAATTGTAATATGACATATTTTATTTTTAATGTATTTAAGGAAAGGTTTATTTTTACAGTCATTGCCATGTTGGGCATGTTATCGCCAGCCAGCAGAGGTGCACTTATGACTGCAGCTATATTCTTGTATGTGTTCATGGGCCTTATTGCTGGCTATTATTCCGCACGATTATATAATACTATGAAAGGAAAACAATGGAAACAAGCTGCATTTCTGACAGCTACTCTTTATCCAGCTATTGTATTTGGCACCTGTTTCTTTTTAAACTTTTTCATTATGGGCAAACATTCCAGTGGTGCAGTGCCATTTTCGACTATGATGGCCCTGCTTTGTTTATGGTTTTGCATATCTCTACCTTTAGTTTATTTGGGATATTACTTTGGATGTAGAAAGCAGCCATTTCAACATCCTGTTAGGACAAACTTTATCCCAAGAAAAGTGCCAGAACAAGTTTGGTATATGAACGTTTTTATATGGTAAGACATTTACAAATATTATACATGTTGTCGGGTCATAAATTCTGTCAATGATTCAATGTAGTATTAAAACTAGCGAGAAATTATTTTTATTTGCCTAAAATTTTTCTTCATTATAAAAGAATTCTAAATATGCACTACTGACATGAACAATTTTTATTATATACAAATTGAATAGCAGTGTATAATAGCAGCTTAATGTTGCTGTTTTTTAGTATGGTGAGTGTAGATAACTGGAGACCGGAAAGGCCACAGTATCTACTTACCATCAGGTGGACTGTGTGCTTGTTTGTCACCCTTATTCTAAAAAAATTGCTTTATATACAGGTCGGCTAGGTCAACAACACAAATGATGTTGTCAAACACCAAAACCACCAGACCCCACGCAATATTAAAAACAAGAGGATATAAGCTTAACAATGCCGTATTATGTTTGGTCAGTTCTAAAAACTTTCAGTGTTGCCCTCGTATGTCGGTGCCCGATTATCTGGCTGTCTGGTAGGCAAAACATGAAGGCAAAGAAACCATCGCTGGTTTCATCACTTTCATCTTTTGCTTTGCAGATTGCAGTAACATAGCTTTTATCCTTAACGAGCTTCGAGGTCTCGGTGTAGCTCATTCGACGCCAGATATTGGTATCCTGCTGCCGGCTCCATTTTTGCTATACGGCAAGGCTACATCACGTCACCACCATCAGGTGGGATTGTAGTTAAACGCTGGCTTAGAATAATAAAAAAAACTAAGCGGCTCTAAAGCATTTACACCTGCATGAAGGTTAGTGACGTTTGTTGTCTATTCGCTCTGTCTAAAAGGACCGAGCGAGCAGCTTCGACACCGACAGCTTCTTGTCCAAGGAAGTACTAGTTGATCCTTCCATATTTCAAACAGAAACTGCCACGCGTGGGTCCTCCATATTTCTCATTCACTTGGTGGAAGTTGGGGGGCTAAATTACGCTCAAGACTACAACTGCTCGGGGCAAACGGAGCAACAAGACCAAGGCGACCCCTGCCACGCTATCCGTGGATTTCTGCAATATCAGGGGACTTCACTCTAACCTAAACGCCGTACACTACCATCTCGATACGGCGGAGCTGGCTCTGCTCTTTCTGACCGAGACGCACGTGTCCTCTCCGGCTGATGTCTCTAATCTCTCCTACCCCGGGGTACAAACTGGAACACTTCTTTGTGCCTCGGGCTGGAGTTTGCGTTTACGTATGAGAGGGCATCTGTTCTCGACGCCTCAGCAGTCTTGAAGGTTCGGACCTGTCCATTCTTTGGTTACGCGTAGACAGCGACGACCATCCGTGCGTCTACGGGTGCCTCTATAGGTCATATAGCGGTAATGCCGAAATAGACCGACGAATTGACCACGTCCAAATGACTACAGATTCGTTGCTACAGCGGATCCCCTCCGCAGAGATCGTGATCGTCGGCGACTTTAACGCCCATCACGCCGAATGGCTTGGTTCACGTTTAACCGATCATGCGGGGAGATCTGTTCATGATTTTGCCTTGGCATATGGTCTGACACAACTGGTTACTTCGCCTACGCGGATTCTAGATGTGGAGGATCATGCACCTTCCCTGTTGGACCTTGTGCTGACCTCTCACCTGGATGGATATCATATTTCCGTCGATGCCCCTTTAGGCTCCTCGGACCATTGTCTTTTGCGGAGTGTGGTGCCACTCACGCTGAAATCGCAGGTGCATTCTGCAGGCTGCCGCCGTGTTTGGCACTATAGGTCAGTCGATTGGGATAGGATACGGTACTTCAGGGTATGGAACTTTTTATTCCTTCCTCTGTGGTGCCCATTGGAGGCAAATCTCAGCCATGGTTTGGTCGCTCCTGTAAAATAGCATTATGCTGTAAGCAGGAGTGCTACCAAGCCTGGGCTGATGCATCAGCGTCCCGGAATGTAAGCACCAGCGCTCTAAAAAAGAAGTATAATTCCGCCTCCAGGTCCTTCAAAAGAGTCATTGCCAAGGCAAAGTCAGAGCACATAGGCAGAATTGGCGAGAAACTAGTTCACCTTCCTTCTGGAACTCGTGCATTCTGGTCCCTCGCCAAGGCTGTCGATCCAGGGGAATTTCTGTCAGCCATCTCTTCCATCTCTGCACAGGGACGACGACTCACTGGCCCATACCGCAAAGCAGAAAGCCGATATGCTAGGCTCTTTCTTTGCGTCCAACTCGACTCTCGACGACGCGGCGCCGCCAACCATCTCGCTGTGTGAGTGCTCCATGCCGGAAGTGCAGTTCACACAGCGTCGCAACGTCGCAACAGCTCGGTTCTTTTTTTTTGAAGAATATTAACAATCCTATAAACATTACTAATATTCCCCTTAACCACTCGTGGTAAGCTAAATTTACTTGTGTTACGAGTGGTTCACGCCAGTAGTCGAATGGTGGATTCGAACCCACGAACTTTTTGAGTTCGCGGTTCGCGCCTTGCCATTAGGCTATTGTCGCTTAAGGTTTGCAAAGCACTCCTCTCCCTGGACATCCACAAGTCGAGTGGGCCTGACGGAATCCCCCCAATTGTGCTGAGGACGTGTGCTCCAGAGTTGGCACCGGTTTTAACGCGTCTTTTCCGATACTCCTACTCCCTAGGCGTAGTCCCAAAATCATGAAAGATGGCTTTCGTCCACCCGATTCCTAAAAAAGGCGACCGCTCAGACCCGTCCAACTACCGACCTATCGCCATCACCTCCTTGTTCTCCAAAACAATGGAGTCCACTGTGAACTGCCAGCTCATGAGGTACCTTGAGGATCACTAGCTGATTAGTGATCGCCAATACGGTTTTCGCCGTGGTCGATCAGTTGGTGATCTTCTGGTCTACCTAATTCATAGATGGGCGGAGGCAGTAGAGTCCAAGGGGGAGGCATTGGCCGTTAGTTTGGACATTGCGAAGGCTTTCGATCGGGTTTGGCACAAATCGCTTCTTTCGAAGCTCCCTTCCTATGGGCTTCCCGAAAAATTGTGCAATTGGATCACCAGCTTTCTTGCAGATCGGAGCATCAAGGTCGTTGTAGATGGTGCAAGCTCCGATTACAAGCCTATTAATGCTGGTGTTCCTCTAGGCTGCGTGCTATCGCCAACGCTGTTTCTTCTGTATATCAATGATATGTTGCAAACCCGTAACATTCATTGCTATGCAAATGACAGCACTGGTGATGCTCTGTACACCGGCCGTGCCAATATTTCTCGGGAAAACGTCTCCGAGTACCGGGACAAACTTGTGTCTGAAGTCGAGTCTTTGCTGAACAAAGTCTCGGATTGGGGGCGACTAAATCAAGTCCAGTTTAACCCTCAGAAGACACAAGTTTGCGCGTTAACCGATAAAAAGTTCCTCAGTTTCAAGGCACTCCCCTTGTTGCTTCAGCCAGTATCGGAATACAACATGGACACAATACGGACATATCGAGTGACGTGGAGTTTCGTGGTCACTTGGAAGAGAAGGCCAAATTGGCGTCTGAAAAGCTTGGCGTGCTCAGCAGAGCGGGACAGTGTTTCATGCCGGCACACCGCCTGCAATTTTACAAGGTGCAGGGTCGGCCGCACATGGAATATATCTGTGCCGGAGCTCCCCAGTACCGGCTCCTTCCACTTGACCGCATCCAGCGCAGAGCGGCTCGAATCGTCGACGACCGAGTGCTTTCCGATCGGCTATCGAGCCGAGATGCAACATCTCTTCGCAACGCCAGTGACGATTCACTGGCGTTGCGAAGAGATGTTGCATCTCTTTGGGTATTTTATCGCATCTATCACTGAGAGTGCTCTGGGGAATTGTTTGGATTAATCCCAGCCGCCAAATTTCGTGAACGCACTACGCGGCAAACGTCCCGTTACCATCAACACCATCTGGATGCTTGACGGTCCACCACTGTACGTTTCAGAAGGAGTTTTCTTCCGCGTACGACCTCTCTGTGGAATAGTTTACCACCGGCGATTTTTCCGGGCCGATACGACCTGGGGACCTTCAAGAAAAGAGCTTACTCCTTTCTAAAGGTCCGGCAACTCACCTGCAATTCTCCTGGTGTTGCGGTTGATCATGGGCGGCGGTAGTCACTTAACATCAGGTGAGCCGCATGCTCGTTTGGCCCCTCTTCTATAAAAAAAAACACAATATGTATATATTTTAGTGAAATGTACGAAGATTTGTATTTAAAACGAGCGGGGAGATATTTACGAACAGACTTTTGAATATTGTTTATGAAAAAAAGCAAATTGTCTGTATTTATTTTAAAATATTTTTGACAGAACTTATGATCTGACTACGTTTTAGTGAATCTGTAATTTTCATTTATAATATTTAGATAGTAACTAATCTTTCACTCATTATTTTTAGCATTTTAATGGCTGGAATTCTTCCGTTTGGCGCTGTGTTTATAGAGTTATTCTTCATTTTTAATGCTCTATGGGAAAATCAGTTTTATTATCTCTTTGGATTTTTATTTCTTGTATTTTGTATTTTGGTTATATCGGTTTCACAAATTTCAATCGTGATGGTATATTTCCAACTTTGTGGAGAGGTAAATAATATTAATAATTATTATTTATTTTGCATGATAAGTTGATAAGATATGTATTTAATTAATTACATTATATTTTTTTTAGGATTATCATTGGTGGTGGAAAAGTTTTATTGTTTCTGGAGGGTCTGCTGTGTATATTTTAATATATTCAATATTTTACTTTTTTACCAAATTAGAGATTACGGAGTTTATTCCAACATTATTGTATGTGGGTTATACAGGTAATAGAATATGCAACAATTGAAACTATAAGTTTATTTTTTAATTAAATTTAATTAAAATTAATTTTATATTTCAGGTCTTATGGTTTTAACATTTTGGCTGTTAACTGGTACCATTGGATTTTTTGCAGCTTATACATTTATTAGGAAAATTTATGGCGCTGTTAAAATTGACTGAATGTGGAACTTTTAGTACATTTTACAATAGAAAGTGTATGTAGTTGAGTATGTATGGCAAGAGTCACTATTTTTATATAACTTAAGTTGATTATGTGTGTGTTATATCGATTGATCTTTTGCTGATTAGGTTGTTTGTAAATAGTTTATTATTGCGATTAATTTGTGACAAATATATGAACGGCTTTTAAATTATTAGTTTCTTTTTTTTTAATTTTTTTCTCCCGTCTTGAATTAATATTTTCTATTTTCGTCTTCAACGCAAAACTAGGCACAAGAGAAAACGGTGAGCTGAAGTTAGGAAAATTTGGAGTAGGGCAACGGAACCGAAGGGGCCAGCAGCTGGCCGACTTTATGGAGAAAGAGGGACTCTTTATGATGAACTCTTTCTTCCAGAAACGGCCCCACAGGAAGTGGACCTGGTCGAGCCCCGACGGTTCGACAAAAAATGAGATTGACTTCATTATGACGACCAGACGCCAACTGTTCAGTGATGTCTCAGTGATCGCAAGGGTAAAAACTGGCAGCGATCACCGAATGGTTAGAGGCACACTGAACCTAAAAGTTGAGTTGGAGAGGTCTCGTCCAATGAAGTCAACGCTCCGTCCTCCTCGTGCTCTAATCCAGAATCCCGAAAACTTTCAGCTCGAGTTACGTAACCGCTTTCACTGCCTACAAGATTGCAATTCAGTGGACGATATGAATGACAAGCTCGTGGAAACTGTCCGTGCGGTCGGAGCTAAGTTCTGCAAGACCCGCCGCAGAAGAACACAAAAACTCTCCGATCACACTCTTAATCTCATGGCTGTTAGACGGGAGATGAGGCTGCAATCGTTAACAGATTTGACAGCATACAGGCAACTGAACAGACAGATCTCCAAATGGATGCGGCGAGACTTACGCAACTTTAATACTGCTCGTATTAAAGATGCGATCGAGCGGAACCAGGGCTCCAAAGTCTTTGCCAGAGATCTGTCTGCCAGTAAGAGCCAACTGTCAAAGCTGAAGACTGAGTGTGGCAGCATCGTTTCCGGGACACCTGAGATTTTGAGTGAGATTGAGAGGTTCTATGGGCAGCTGTACACGTCATCGTTGGAGCCACACGCAAGTGTTAGTAACGATCCAAGAGCAAGTCTTATCAGACACTATTCCGATGATATCCCGGACGTCAGTCTAAGCGAGATTAGTATGGCTCTCCAGCACCTTAAAAACGGCAGGGCCCCAGGCGAGGATGGAATTACAGCGGAGCTTCTGAAAGCGGGTGGAACACCGGTACTTGAAGTCCTTCAGAAGCTCTTCAATTCCGTCCTCCATGGTGGCACTACTCCAGAGGCGTGGAGCAGAAGTGCGGTGGTCTTGTTCTTTAAGAAAGGCGACAACGCTCTCTTGAAGAACTACAGACCGATTTCCCTTCTGAGCCGCGTCTACGTCCTGTTTTCGGGAGTCATTACGAATCGTCTCGCACGCAGACTCGACGACTTCCAGCCTCCCGAACAAGCCGGTTTCCGAAAAGAATTCAGTACCATAAACTACATACATACCCTGCGTCAGATTGTAAAGAAGACTGAAGAGTACAATCAGCCACTTTGCCTGGTGTATGTGGACTATGAGAAAGCCTTTGATTCCGTCGAAATTTGGGTAGTGCTACAGTCCCTTCAGCGGTGCCAAGTTGACTGTCGGTATATCAAAGTGCTGAAGTGTTTATACAGTAGGGACCCAAGCACTATGCTTAATGACCTCCATAGTGCCTCCCAACGGATAGGTCTTAAGATGAACATGGACAAAACAAAGATTATGTTTAATGTCCATGTCACACCTATGCCGGTAGTTGTTGGGAGCACTATGCTCGAAGTTATTGACGAGTACGTTTACCTGGGACAAATAGTCCGACTAGGTAAGTCCAACTTCGACCGAGAGGTCAATCGACGGATTCAACTCGGCTGGGCAGCGTTCGGGAAATTACGACATATCTTCTCGTCAGGTATACCTCAATCTCTAAAAACTAGATTGTACAACCAGTGCGTGTTGCCAGTGATGACTTACGGATCTGAGACGTGGTCCTTCACTGCTGGCCGTATGAGAACGCTCAAGGTCGCTCAGCGAGCTATGGAGAGGGCTATGCTCGGAGTTTCTCTGCGTGATAGACTCAGAAATGAGGATATCCGCAGTAAAACCAGAGTGACCGACATAGCCCAGCGGATTAGTAAGCTGAAAGTGGCAATGGGCCGGCCATATAGCTCGAAGAACCGATAACCGATGGGGAAGAAAGGTTCTCGAGTGGCAGCCTCGTACCGGTAGGCGTAGTGTAGGGCGACCCCCCACTAGATGGAGTGACGACCTGGTAAGATATGCAGGAAGTCGATGGATGCAGGTGGCTCAGGACCGTGCTTTGTGGCATTACTTGGGGGAGGCCTATGTTCAGCAGTGGACTTGTGAAGGGCTGTAATGATGATGATGATGATGATTTTCGTCTTAATTGCCAGCGCTGCAGTTCTATCAGCGATACAAGTACTAATAATATTCTCCAGACCATATTTCATTCACGGCTAATCTCTGCGGAGATAAGCCGCCGCCCCGAGTTACGTACGCCTGGATTATGGTGCCAAAGTGCGTGGGCAAGCACAGGTGCAGTCTCTATTTTCTCCCTCTCATAGTCCGCAGAGATTGCAGTACCAACGGCTTTACGTGCTTTCCGAGGGTTGGATCTGGACCCGATTCGAACCCGGGGCTTCATGACCAGTACTGCGCTTACGACAATTAGACCAGCGAGGTAATCAACAATCAGTACATCGAGGTGCTAAATTGTTTACGTAGTAGTCGACAGATCAGAGTACAAAACCTATACAACTGCAGGGAGATGTGGAACATCATATTCCCGAAATTTCAAGGCTGCATTGGAAGACGTTCTCAAACTACTGGACTGGAAAAGATACATCACTCCCTTCGAGTTGCCGACGATACTGTCAGTCTGTTATTAGGCTTGACATACACGAAATGCGCATAATAGTAATCGAGCATTTGGTAAAATTGTTCTGAAAGCATTTCGTTCTGCAGGCTCAAATTTTTTACTCGTCTCGTTCTTTTCTATATTTAGTTTCTTTAATGGCGGCAAAACCCAGCGTGTAATAGGTTTTGCTCGGTGTGTATAGCACAAGCCAATGGAAGACCGCCAATTTGCCAATTTTGTGAGTAATAGCAGAACTGGTCTGGTCACACGATGTTGTGTCTACAAATATCATATTTTCATATGCAGTAGATAGAAAGATCCGTTTCATTATAGGCGTAATTAGAACGATAATCCTGAGATTTTGTTTAAACGATAATCCTGGGATTTTGTTTCAACATCCAACATCTGTAAGCCACGTATTCATTAAGAAACAATTGTTTATAAACACTGCTTCAGAAACAATATCTACGTGTTTCTGACACAAATCATTATGTTTAACAGAAACTATAATTTTGTTTCGGTAAACTTTACCGAACTTACTTGGTGTTTATTGGCATGTTTCAGTGCTCCCCGCTGTGAGTGGGGAACACCGAAACAAATCAGTTGCGCAACAGGTGCATACAGGTGTGGACACGTTTAAACATGGCTGTAGTGTGGACCGATGAAACTATTTTTAAATAATTAGAACTGTTTGAGAAAAAACAAATATTATGGGACTCGGCAAAAGATTACAAAAATAAAATCAAAAAGAATGACGCCTGGGAAGAAATTTCGAACGCATTGGCAATTCCAAAAACAGCTGTTGAGGGCAAAATGCATATATTGCGGTCTCAATTTGCAAGAGCGAAAAAGAAAATGTCTTCAAAAACCACAGGTGCTGGGACTGCCGATATTAAGAAATCGAAATGGAAATTTTTATGAAGAACTAATTTTTTACAAAGTACGACGACAAGGGGTGATCATTGTGTATCTAGATCATTGTATTATGGTGGTGCGGATACTTTAAATAAAACAGTGAGTGCATTATTCATATCTTATTTTTATGTAAACAGCTGTAGGCAGGTAAATATTATATTTAACATATACGAAAACTACCGCCATAGCATTCTCCTTAAGCTACATTGTTTTGCCACGGCAGGCTTCCTCTTTCGCTCATGAAATATTCATCAAATTGCTCACTTATGATTGTAGCAGTACGTGGTGAATTTCTAGGTCGCCTTTCCAATTCTAACATTGAAGTCCCTTCACCTGTATACTCTCTACGCCAAGCACCTTCTACAAGATTATGTTCAGTGTCTTCAAAATCAAAAGTCATCGGGGGTGTATACAAGTCTCTAGATTGTTTATGCCTTCTTAAAAAGGTATGCAAGTCAGTACAGGCCATTACAATAAGTTCACAATTCTCATGCTTGAGAAGAATTGGTTTTTTCTAAAACCCTCCTGGCCCTGCAGAGTCTATAGTTGAAAATGCGTTTCATTGTGCCACGATTATGAATACCTGGGTACGGCCTCATCAAGTTTTCCGATAACGGGAATTCACTATCGCCCAGTATTATACAAGGAAGGTCAGGTCCGTCTGGTGATATTGTTTCTTGGTTTGGAGGATTAAGACGGTCTTCCACCATTCTTTGATAGATAAAAACTCGTTTCTTGAAAGATGCCACTGTCAGATGTTCTTCCTTTCGCACCACAGTTTGCATATATAACATTATAAGATGTATCTATAATAGCCTCTACAACTAAAATATCAGTTTAGTAGTACAATACTAAACTGATATTTGTAGTTGTAGTAATCACTGTTACTATTGATAGGCGCTTCAATTACCACATGCCTCCCATTTATAGCTCTGATACAGTGTGGAAAACAAGAAACTAGACGTTTGTGAATAGAAAGCAATAAGCCAATAGGAGCCTCAGTCGACCAACGGTCAGTGCGAGAGAAACTGTGAATGGGAGTGCACGCGTCTTTGATTTACAAACGGAAAACTGTTTTAACTTTTCGTCAATCTAATTTTGTGTAAGGTCAAACTTCATAATTTTAAGGTAATTATGAT